CAGTCTTATTGCCAGTAATGCTGTACGGCAAGAAACATGGTCGATACATGGTTGACAGATGCTGAACAATATTAGCTGTCTGTTAATGAGAAAGCCATGGAAGAAAGGACGTCAAGAATTTGGCTCCGCGGTCATTTCCCAGTACAGAACATACACAGCATACCGGGAGGAAAGTTGTACTCGTGGAAAGTAGTGAGGCAAGCCGCTACGGGCAGAAAATGGAGCTTAGTTCATTGGCTGCAGATGGACATTGGCTATCACCTCGTGGTACCCGCAGGATCGTAAGGAGCTCTCGGTTGTTCTCAAAGAAAATGGAACAATTTTGTTTCTAACTTATCAGGACCATCGCGGTCAGGAAAAAAGCGTCTTATAGCTGAATATCGGTCATTATTGGGCATTAATGTAAATTGTGGTTTCCAATCCTTCCACAGTTCTGTATGTGAGTGGTGACAGATTTTTGAAACAGCAATAGAATTGCTTTAAACGTCAAGCAGGGGAAAAGACCATTGGGAAGCTCTTCGTCAGAGGAGTACGTCGGTGTCACCGTAAATTGTCAAATACAGTAGACGATTGAGTAGGGTACACCGTAATGCATATGATGCCTCTGTTTAATACAAGTCATTTACTTCATACGAAATTACACCTTTCCAAACAGGAGAAATCGCCATAGCACAAAAAGGAACGAAACAAAATGAGGTTTATAAGTATTTATGGATTCCAGTTTTATGATTGAACCTCAATTGCTACTGAGAAACCTCATAACCGATTACCGATCTCGAAACCTTGGCCGTCAGGTCGATCACACGAACTGATAAACTGCATCAAACTGTATGAACGTTTAGCGTTAGACGGGGAAATCGGCGGAAGAACGAAGTTGGCAGGGGTTAAAGTGAAGCCAGAATTACCCGTGTTACAAGACACTGATATCGTTACTCGACAGTGAGCTGCCCGTGGGATCAAACAAATAACTGTTCGATTCTGTCGTGCTGCCCTTTGTTATTTATTTCGCTAAATGTTGGTCTCTGAAATTTATGACAACAAAATGAAGGTCATGCAAAGAACGATGGAGCAAAGGATATTTATGGTCTTTCTCCCGGATCACGTGCTGAGCACACAAAGGCGACAACGGGTTGGATTAACAGACGTGATTTCTGCCTTCTACGACGCCAAGAGAAGAGGAGCCGGCACGGTGGATCGTCTGGGAGCCAGCCGGAGCAGGTCAAGAACTACAAGCTGTTTTCCTGGACCACAAAAGTCAACTCGGTCTTCCAAGAGACACGCTAGGGCGACACGATTGTCAAAATGCATGGCCAGCAGTGGGTGGCTGGGAAGAGAAATTACTGAGGGCGTCAACTTGCTGCCATAGCCTAACCATAAGGAAGGTAAGTTGGGTAATAGGTGACGCAATATTTTCATAACTTTGTAAGAAATATAAGCAATGACACAGAAATGGTAGGAGACATAGGCATGATGAAGAATTCAACTGTTCAGATGAACGTTTTTGTGTCAACAAGGAAACCAGGCCTCATCCTTGTAGAATGATTGATGGGGAAACGTTGAGCTAACTCCGACGACAGAAAAGTTTATAGAAATGAGTATACGTGGGTTTTCTCATGAAGAACAGAAGATCTGAAGACTACGTTTCTAGCGTGAATGTGTTCTAAGCATTGAGAATGCCAGGCATATAAAGAAAAGGGACATGAAATGCAACATGACGTTGCAAAAATGACGTAAAGCTGTCTAGAGTGACAGAACACTTGATCACTTATCAGTGAAGGAAGTCGACGAAATATTAAATATAGATATTATACCAAATAAAACATTAAATTATAATTCTATGAACTGCTAAACATGAGACTATTATAGGCGCAATCGTGCTTTGTCCAATTCCAAATTTCTGCAACAAGGCTGTCGCTTCTAAAGGATGTTGGTACTAAAAAAAGAAACAGAGCACTTCACTGAGGTGGTGGCCATGGTTGTTTCGTTATCGTCCTCTGAGGTCAACAGAACTCAGATGACGATGTGTTCCAGATTAAAGTTGTCGGACGTTCCAAAATTGTAACTCAGAGTGAGCAACGTTCAATGCGAAGGCAAGGGTCATATTCCTCGTCACCGACGGTTCTGCCTCAGTGATGTGTTTCCGTGTTTTGTACTGTCGTTCAACTCGCCTACGGCCAGGAATAGTTTGATATTTTGAACATATTTCCGTTACCGTACTTTTTCCCGATGCTACCATCGTATTTTCAGGATGCTTCGCATACACCATTGTTGAAAAGCGTCTAGTCGAGCTTAATGACGTTTCAGAACGGAAGAAGGTTCTTCAATCAATGACTTCAGCATATATGAATGGTTCATATTAACGTACTGGGGCAATCCTTTTGATTCGTGCAGTGGACGGTTTCCATTTTCGTCGTGCTTTCAGAATGGATGATGCTTGATGTTTTCCGAGACCACAACGTTGCAACCTGCATTAAGTCTCAAACGGTTTTCATCGGTAGTTCCTCGGTTACTTAAGAACAAGCATCTTGTGGCGTGTCAAACGAAAAACCTGGTCGTGCCGAACTTGACCTTCAACAGGGAACAAAACTTGACTCGGACAAGAGGTTGTTGAGAGGGTGCCCAGTGAGCAAATACTGCATTGAAACTATCTCCACGTCGGCATGGACGACCAAGCGCCATCTGCTGCCGCTGACGGCCGATTTCATGCTGAGGGAAACTTTTTCCATCCTTTAGTACTTGTTACCGGTTCTCAATCAGCATCAGCGGCCAGCAGCGAAAAAACGCCTCTGTTTCTGGTATGCGAAAATCCAAATGACTTCCAGTTGGTGGTCGTGCAGATAAAAGCAAATCGAAAATCCGTCGTTTTCGCTGGACCGTCACTTACGCTCAAGAACCTCGTTAAAAATGCGCCGTGTTTGAAAGAGGTCTGTTATCCGTTGCTACCTCTGCGTCTACCACCATCATTGGAAATGTTCAGCTACCCCTGCGATGACTGTTTGCCACGATGCTTATTTCGTCCGTGAAATTTTCTTTGTGGGAAGCGAAACCTGTGGCGTTGGATATGCATGTTATGGTTGTCACTGTCTTCTAAGGCCAAGCGACGCTTTATGAGAGAAATTTCCCAAATATCAAGATATAATATTCATCATGGTAATAACGTATGGCGTATAATTCCTCCGAAACCAGATTTCACGGCCTACTGCACCGCCGTTTTGCTTCTAGATGCCTGATCGGCCGTTTAAGCAGGCCATTGGCATTACTACATGCGGTTGAGTCTCGCATCAACGAACGACATTCCAAAAGGTGGTACTCCTATATGCTACTGCATAAACATCAAAATATTTTGATACGTTGTTGTATGTTGCAGGGCGTATAGCTCCTGCGGGGGCAGACTTCATATATGATAATATCGGTTTTAATCTGATAACTTTATTTTAACATCATAATGTCTATTTTATCCTATTATTTTAGACAACTTTGAAAAAAAAATCATATTCTTTATTGCAGTCAGTCCTACATTTGGAAGTCGCTTCCAAAAGCTTTACGTCACACAGCAGTAGACACCAATCCTTAACGGAATCCGACAATTTTTCAGGTCTGTTTCTTCACGGTCAAGCTACACCACTGCCTTTAGTGTAGTGAGGCTTCTCGTATTTAGCTACGTCATGAATGAAACTGATCCGTTGCTTGAAAATCGAGATTAGCCATATGACGGCATGCAAAAGCGATAGGACGTGGACCAATTGCCAGGAACAAAACTTCATGACGCTGCAATCTGCGCCGTCGAAAGTTCTGGACGAAAAATTACGATCATCGTGAAAAAAATACGGAAACCATGAGGATGTGGAAGCTGATTGCTATTACCCGTGCTTGACTCCGTTACCGGGATAGACAGACCGAGTGGTAAACCAAGATGAGAC